CCCCAAAACCCCAAAACCCCACCACCATTAAATAAGTAATAGGCGAGATATATGAAAATTAAATCCTAAAATTTTATAAATTCAAAAGCGTAATAAATTAAGGAAAAATGCTCAACTTTGGCAGGTATAACTTTTACAGTAGTTTACCTATTTTGTATTATAGAGATCCATGGAGCTTCTTTAGAGGTCAAGCAAATTCTAAGATCTTGGACATGATTACTAAGGAAGGAACCAGTGTTCAGGATATCTTAGAGGCTGAAGGACTTAATGACATTAAGAACCAAAATGAAAAAGTGATTAAATTGTAAGTATTCTACTAATCATCTCTATCTAACTGTCATTCAAAACGGAAATGACTTATTTTGAATAAAGTTTTAACACAATATTTAGTTTTGATCACGATAAATTAGCTGAGCTCATTGAATTGATAACAGTTATGCCTAGTGAGGAGGATACTCATGATAGATAGCACAAGTAAAAATCTAATTCCTGTTTAATCAGTTTATTTAGATTTCCTTTTTAAGCTAACGAAATATTCGGGTTCGAAATTAATACTTTCCTAGATAAATTTTTTGAAGCTCCTGAGCCTAAGACACCCAAGGCTAAGACTTAAGAAGTATCAATAACATTAGATGTAAGAATATTCCGATTGAGTTAATCAAAACTTAATAGGAAGAGCATAAGAAAGAAGAAAGTGACGATGAAATGCCAGGTTTAGAAGATTAGGATAATATTGAAGATGAATAATAGGAAAAAAAGGAAAAAGTTATTGCTTAAGAGATGAATAATGACAATTAAGTTAAGGAACCTGAGTCAGAGGATTAAGTTGAAGAGGATAAAAAAGATATAGAAGTAGAGTTAAAGGATATTAAGCCTAATTAATAGGATTCAGATTCAGAAACTCAAAAAAATGAAGATTTATTTTAATAAGAAAATGTTCAATAAAATGTTGAATAAAGTATCAATGGCTAATTGGAGTAAACCACTGATTAATAAGATTAGCCAAGCACTATTTAAATAGATTTAGCTGATGAAGAGGAATAAACTAAAGAGGCTTTAGATTAAGAGGATATTGACCTCAAAGATACTACTAAGCTGTCAATAAACTTAGAACCAGAGGAAGAAGATGATTTAGTCGCAGATGAAAGAGAAAAATATCATCTTCTTGACAAGCTCTTCAAGTTTATTTAAACCAGGGAGACTCCTCTAAATCCAGTGCTATCAGGATATTTTGTAAACTTAGTAAACACTCTTTTTTTCAGAAGAAATAAGTAAATGATTGTATATATCTTTAGAGATACTCCAAAAATCATAGATGACATGCTATTCCACGCTTATTAAAAATCCATCTCAGATTTGCTTAAAAAGTTAATGATAGTTCCTACTGATTTTGAGGCTGAGACTGCTGAGGCTATAAAAAATCAATAATCTTATATCATGTCTAAACTAATAGAAAAATTAGGTGCTTAGCATTCGGATGAGGAAAATCTTAATGCCTGCCTGGTTATTTACGACCTTATTGAATTGAAGGAACCATACTAGTTGATAAGTTTAAAAATGCATATTATGGATATTTTTGATAGAGCTTTCCCAACTTACTCAGAAACCAATTAATCAAGTCAATGTGCTGCAATAAGCGTTTTGACAAAAATAGTTAAACTTTTCCCTGAAAATCAAAAGAGAGATTAAAAAAGAAAGGCAAACCATCAAAAGGAAGAGTTTTCATTCTCACTAAAAACCCAGGACAGTGATCTTGGAGAGAATGAAGATATTTAGCCTTTGATAATTGTTTTACAATAAAATTAGAGTGTGATCTTTGAAAGCCTTCTAACTGTTGAAGTGCCAAATTTAGAATTATAAACTACTTTTGGTTAAAATATTAGACCATTAGGAAGATTAAGACTAAGAATAGTTGAATTTATAAAGTAGTTAGTCAGCCTCAATAACCCAAGTATTCTAAATAGTCTAGTTTAATCAGAAATACTAAGCAATATTAATGACTTGTTTATAAGTTATCCCTGGAATAACTTCCTTTAACTTTTTGTGTAAAAGATATATGTTGATCTCTTGGAAGTATGCGAAGATGAAGAGATCAAATATAAAGGTCTAAAAAATAGTAAGATAGCAGAAAAACTTATTAACATTTAATCTAATACCAACTTCACACATTAAAGTAATAGGCAAGTTCGTTAGGGGTACATGGCCTTAGTAATACAAATTGCAAATCTATTGGATAAGCACAAAGATGATGATGGAGTCAAAGAATATCTAGAAGAAAATCAAGTTGCCTGGAGCAAATTCATGAATGAAGAGGTAAAAGTCAGAAATGAATTGAATTCCAGAAAACTTGGTAATCTCATAAGAAAGCAATCTGAACCTGAGGAGCCTTCTGATGATGATTAGGATCTTTAATTCGATATTCATGAAACAAATAAAAAGAAGGAGGAGATAGTTTTAGGTGATGGCATTTAACCCTTGCTTAGTGAGCCAGAGGAACATAATGAAGAAATAAAAGATAATATAACTTCAAGTGATACTTCATAGGAAAATTCAGAGAAATTCTTCAGTTAACCAGTAAATGGCATTATTGAAACTCATGTAGAGGAAATTATTCAATAATAGAACCTCGAAAAGGATTTCATTGACCAAAATTACTGGAAAATTAATATTGTGCAAGAAGATAGTCTTGAAGATTTACTCAAGGATTACGAATGATTTCATTCAGGAGAGGAAGCTTTCCACATTAAAAACCTCCTACACCGATCTCCACCAAATAAAGTTTATTTTATCAATAATTTAATGTATGCTTTGTTCACATTTTTATGAAAATTTTGAATTACGGGGTTTTGGGGTTTTGGGGAGATCGGAAGAGCACACGTCTGAAC